ATGACTTTGGAGGAATTCTTGGTGAGGGCAGGTGTTGTAAGAGAAGATATGCAACAGATTGGAATGGCAAATAATAGTGGATTCTTCGGTAACAACACTGCTGTAGCTTTTGGGTTTCAACAGACAAATAGAAACAATGGCTTTTTGAGTAACAATAACTCAGTTCTCAATCAGCCTCCAAGGTTACCATTGAACATGAGTGGAGTCAAATCCTCACAGCCACAGCAGCAGCAGCAGCAGCAACAGCAACAACAACAACCACAGCAACAACAGCAGCAGCAGCCACAACCACTCTTTCCCAAGCAACAAACAGTAGCATTTGCTCCTTCTATGCACTTAATGAACACTGCACAGCTTGCTAATCCAGGAGCTAGGGGTTCGATGGTTGGAATTGGTGACCCATCTATGAATAGTAATCTTGTTCAGTCTACTGGGCTGCAGAGTGGTGGGATGGGAATAGTTGGTTTAGCGTCTCCTCCAAGCCAGATATCTTCAGATATGATTCCAAATAGCAGCGTAGATACCACTTCTTTGTCACCAGTTCCTTATGTATTTGGCCGGGGAAGAAAATGCGGTGCAGCTTTGGAGAAAGTAGTTGAGAGAAGGCAAAGGAGAATGATTAAGAACAGAGAGTCAGCTGCAAGATCACGAGCTCGCAAGCAGGTAAGTTGGGTGATAGAGCTACTACACTTTTTTTTCCCACTCAGTTAGTTAGTATATCTTTTCATGGATAGATTCAAACTCCTTTATGTGGATACTTGTTGAAAAAGTTGCACCTTTGTTTCAAGTTTTTTTTCCCTGCTAAAAACGTGCTACATAATAAGGTTTAGCAGGATGCCCTTGCTTTCTTTGTGTGAAAATAGTGGTTTGGTATGTTTCTACTTGGCACATCAAATGTAATGCCAGTGCAAAGCTACTGCCTTTAGCTGCTTGCACCATTATGACTGGCATGAAAATCAGGTTCACATTGGAAGAATATCTCTCTCTTGGGGGTGTTTACGTTCTGATTATGACGATATGGGCGTCCTTAAAGGCACTAAGTAAATTGCTGTTTGTATGTCGTCCTTTCTCTTGAAGGAACTATGATGAAAGATTCATGCAACTGTTGTTTGAAACAAAATTTTAAATACAACATAGAATTTTAACCAATGTTGTTCAGTGCATTCTTCTTGTTATGGCTATCTATCTGTGGATGTGAAATGCTGCAGCCTGAGTTCATTTCTACCTACCACTCCTGAAAACCACACTATGTTTTGATTGCAAGATTCCTTGTGAGATGTGTAAGAAACTCTAATCAAACCCGATATACTAACAAGATTATGATCATGTATCATTCTTGGGGCATGGCATAAATTTGAAGTGCCAATTTAATAACACAGTTGTTTAACTCCTTGGACAAGTTTATGGAGTGGGCATCTCATATGATTGACTCATTTGTTACAGTTGTATTTTTTATCCATTAGCTTTATGTATCACATTAATCATATTGGAATTAAATGGTATCATGTCGTCTTAATTGTGTGAAAATTGTTTGAATGATAAATGGTGGTGATCATAGAGGTTCCTCAATTGTCTTTTTGAACCAAACTGTAAAAGAAAAGAACCATAGAAGTATAATTTCTACTAATTATTGATTTATAGTTTAGCTCCAAATATAAAACAACTGATTGCTTTAACTGTTCTGGGTTTCTGGCAGGCCTATACATTGGAACTGGAAGCTGAAGTTGCAAAACTTAAAGAAATGAACCAAGAATTGCAGAAGAAACAGGTAAGACATTGACTAAGAGTCTAAGATGCTTTGTGTTTTATTGAAAATGTTGAGTGATGGCCTCCTTGACTGATTTTTGGTTGGTGCAGGAAGAAATGATGGAAATGCAGAAAAATCAGGTAAATGCTCATTTCATGCTTCCATTACTACCTTACATTTTATATTACCATTCAAAAGCAGCAACTAGCTTTTAGATGGGTTCCAAAGCCCGAAGAAAAACATATTTTTGCAAACCATAGTATAAACTATAGTGTCATATGGATATTTATTGAGATGTTATAATGTTTTAGGATGTTTATTCTTATGCACTTGTTTTCACATTGGGAAAGTAGTAAGCCTCAAAATCTGTATTATCATGAGATTAAAATGATAACAGACGTTTTCTCATATAATTGGAAAGGAACACTAGGTATTTACAGGATGTTTAACTGAAAAAGATCAACAAAGACTGATTTGTCATTACGTGTTGGATGTGCTTAACTTGAAATCAAGTCTTTTGCTTCCTTTCCAACTTTCCTTTTCCATTGCTCTTTCTTGTTTTGTTAACAATTGGTCAACCATATCACATCAAAACCCTGTAAAATATCTAGACTGACAATGCTAAAAAGCAAGTGCTGGATTAAAGGTCAAAGATGAGTTACAAACTTACAATTGAATTTGCACCAAGGCCAGTGGAGTCGTCTAGGTTGAGTGGTTGACCAAAGGAGAGGGCAGTAACGTAAAGAAGTTGATGACTTGTTGCGCACACACACACACACACACACACACACACTAATATGGACTGGCGTTATTCTTCATTAAAAGTTGACCAGAAACTTAAGCTAGACATGAGCGTTACCTGTTTCTTTACTAACATCACTGTTAGAGAACAATGCTGATATTCTTCTGCTTTCTGTTGCCTAATTCAACAGATGTTAGAGACAATGAGTCGACCGTGTAAAAGACACTGCTTGAGAAGAACGCTGACTGGTCCTTGGTAGAGTTGGAACTGCTGATGGTAGAAACTTTACCTAGATACACAATCTTGGCCAGTGGTATGGCACAAGGATTGCGGGTGTGCGTCTATTACCTGTATCTTATACAGCAGAGGGGGTAGATAGCTGTATGTATAGGAACAAAGGGTTTTGAGTTGTAAATTATGAACTTAATACTGTTAGCTCAACCGTGTAGATTAGACTTTCTGGTTGGCTTGATCTCTGTTTGCCTATCATGATATAACGTTGACAACAAAGGCATGTAGGGTAGACGTATTTCTCCTCTTTATGTTTTTACACTCTACCCACAGACTTGGTTAGTCTCCAACCTACCATCAGATTTGACTTTTTAATCTAAGACATCTCGTATCTTTTTGCCATGTTGTAACGGATAAACTTAGGTCATCAAATCAGTTTATTCATATTATGTGGTGCTATGTCTTATATCTAGACAGCTGTGAATTGCCTCAAACTAAAAGATATAGAACCGTTGTTTATCTTTTTTTAAAGTGACACCTGGTGCTTGGATCGTGAAAACCCATTGTCTATCCATTGGTTTTTGGTCGAAATCACACGATTGATTATGATATTTTTGGGTATCTTTTTTCTAGAACAACCTTAAGAAAGAACAAAAGTCGTGTACGTTTAACTTTCCAAAGTCAACAGAACAGTCCAACATATTTTTGTCTTGATGCAGACAGGAGACATGTTCCAATCCCGTACTCAACAGATGGCGATAATCCCAACCTCATCCATCCCAATCCTTTATCCCACCCTATGAGCTACGTGGATGTCTCATCCGCTTTCTAATTTGATTCGGCCCCCAAGAGCATAGACTACCTTACAATTCTTTGCGTAGGAGACTACAGAAACCTTTGGAAGAAAATGACTGCAGAGAAAGATGCTGTTCTGTGAAAGCGCATCCAGATATCCAAAAATGCCGATGCTTACAAAAATCTACTTGCTCTTAAAAGACCAAAAATAGGCCAAAAGCATGGTATATCATAGTCAGATTAGACCCTTCACTTGTTTCATCTTGTTGGAGACAGTCATAACAATATTATAACAGTGGAGAACCTGCAGCCTTCATTCCCCCCATCTCCCAACCCAAATTACTGCACTATCAGGCCACACACATGATCAACATTGAGGAAAAAAATTGAATTGCAAAGCATCATCAGAACTCATTAACGTATCAGTTCTTTTACTGCTAGTAGGTTCTATTATGTATGAAATTACCTGTAGCTTGGTTTGCCACAGTGGTAGATATTTGAAGATTTGATAGCAGCTCCTCACC